GTTTTGTGAGAGAAATATTTACCAAAAATCTAGAGGACGGAAGGTGAATATCGTACAAACAAGAAAATTAGATACAAACTTAGTACATGATGTAACGAAGTCATGAAGTTTCCAATCTGTTTACGTGCTGATATCCATGTCGTTTGAGGGGGGGGGGGTCAAAATGTTGAGACGTTTTTCTTTACGTCCTCATAGAACACATCATAAGAGGCGGAATGACATACGTATTAAGTACATTCTATAAGTGTGGTGTGGTCTCGTGAGCCAGGTCTTATAGAACTTGCATGGCATGCCAAGAACTTGAATGTTAATTTTTTTTGGAGGATCTAACGAAAACCCAGTTACATCCGCATTGTAGACTTTGTGTGGGACATTTTGTAGCCCATCTGCTGTCAACTTGCTTTGATATAGGTTGAAGAAGTCGTCAAGAACCTCTTCATCTATGGAGTCGCCCTCTGTCAAGAGGGTCAGGCTCTTCAGAGGTATCAGAATGTAGTCATACTCCGCGAAACCAACACAGACACGTTCCATTCTGGAAACTAAAGAGACGTGGCGATAGAAAATTTTGAAAACGTTTCTGCACTTACTTTAAATCATAGAAATACACAAAATCCTGTTAAAGTAGTAATGTCTTATTAATTGATTGATAGATTGAATGTAAGTAACATGCATATAATATCCAGCTGTCAAACAAAACAGTTGCTACCCTTAATTTAGAGATAACCCTAATTAAAAAAAAATGTAATGGTCACCTTGAGTATCACATGCACATGGTTTCCGACGAAGCATTGTGCGTGATATGCCTGTCGCTTTACATTGAACTACTGGAGGACTGGATCCAGCAGTGATGCCAGAGGTCCAGCAGTGGTGTTGGACCCTGCCTTCTCCCTCATCTCTTGCGCTCCACCTTCCTACAATTTGAAGTCACTTGAATATGACATATTACTAATTTCAGCAGATAAAATAGGCTATAAAGAATTTTTTTTTTAATATGGCTTTGCATCCCAAAGAAATTCGTATTTCAATTCATGTCTACAAGATTGGCCAAGTATTTTGACAGGCTCATTCCATACAAATGGCTGTAAAAGTACAGAAAGTATTTTAATCACATCAGCAAATAGGACTAAATTTTAAGTCTTGATTATTGCTCCCTAGAATTTGAGTAGAAACGCGAAAAAAACATGTTGACGGGGACGGGGACATGGCCTTGGAGTGACCTGGTCTGGTGGCGAAACGTCCAGAAACCGTTTTTGTCACTACCTCGCCTGGCGGGAGAATGGAAGGATTACATTGTTATTGGCATCACTCCGTCTAAAATGTGGTAGTTTTTTTTTTAACCAATCGATAGCCCTTTCAAAATGTATTCTTACTGAACCAATGTCAATTGTCTCTTGGACCTCAGCTGCAGACAGGGCTGACTTTGGCAGATCCGTGCAGATCTCTCTGGCCCAAGGCTTCATCACCCCATGGTTTCAAACAGCATGTTGCTTGTAGCAGATGTTACCCTTACACCGCATTTACCAAGCAGGGGCTTCAGAATGTCTTTTCGCTGTTCGGCATCCATACCTACAGTGTCTGGTAGATAATATGCCACATTGCGTTTAGATGCCTGACGCAGTTGATGCCTCAGCCTTTAGGGAAAGTGGTCAGAATTGCGTTACAAAAGATGTTAGTTGCTTGTGTTTTTTACTTTAATGCGTGGTTATTTCTGTAATATCTAAGGAAATCGTCATCAAAATCTTAATCTTAATACAACGTTTATGTTCCCCAAACATAAATGAAAAGTATGAGACACTCCAAAATGGACATCAGAAGAATTTATTTTCCGGTTGAAGTTGTTTATCTGTGCTTACTAATCCTGTCTCCCCTACAAAAATTATCTGATACCCGTGGTCGGCTGTTACTGAAGACGTTGAAGCCACACATTTCCTTCTTCTGGTCTTCAGTACCGCAATAGTAGTTGTTAACGGTTTGTAGATTTCGTGACCAGATGGCTGCCACCAGGGCCCGCATCATGCCCTTACGTGCGCTGTGATTCACTTTCCGGCCGGCTATGCCTGCCTTTTCAGCCAGGCTGGACATGATGGTTGAAATGAATCTGGCCATATGCCCAGGTTTAATTGTGCGATGAAGCGAATCTTCATCACATGAAACCAACTATTTAAAGTGAAAATTTTATTTACAGGTGCATGGAAATGAATCTGCCCATTGAATAAATGTGACATTTGTGACATGGACTGGAGGTTCAGTGAAATTGTCTCTGGTCCTGAATCCTGCACATCTGGATAACATAATCAAGAAACATTGACATGTCCATGTACAGGAGCACCTGATGCATCAGGACAACCTACACGAATTTGTGGAGCTTAACATGTCAATATTTATGAAAGTTTATTAGAATAACCATTAGCGGTGGACCCCGCTAGTCTTTCTGGTATTCATTCATAGAGACAATACATACATGTATATACATATATAGTTGACGATCACAAAACAACATATAAATCAATAACATATTTACAATATACAATTATTTAAAAAGTAATCAATCCTGTCGAACAAGTGCTGGTGTGCTACTGATAGAAGTATTTGTGCAAACCGTTCTTAAAGATTATCAGGGATTGTGTGGATTGCATAACAATATTCCTCTTTTCATCATGATCCTTCTTGTCAGAGGTTAGGGCAGTCTGCAATGCATTTGCGCACTGCTCTTTCTGTTTAGCAGTCAACTCTTGAGTCTATCGTCGAACTGATGCCTCGATTTTATGGCCTGATAGGCTCATTATTACTCTGGTATCAAACCCTGCCTCATCTATGACTTGAATAGATGTCACTCTAACACTGTGATTTGTGCATGCCTTGCTGAGACTTGCAGCAGCACAGATCTTTTTCATCATAGCTCCTATCTTATTGCGGCCCAGAGGTTGGGGATAGTACCATGGGCGACTTCCTGAGTCAGCACTATACTTGACATTTACCCTTTGGAATAGAAAGGAGCATTTCCTAGTATTTATCTTGCTACAGTATAACTCGAACACCTTCCCCTTGACGTGGGCGTGTGCCAACAGTGTCAGTTTCATACAAAAGTGCCAACGTACTCCACACATACAACATTGTCAAGCTGGTGGTTCTCCACCCATGTTACGCGTCGTTTGTATGTAGGATCAGCATTCCGTGAATTATAATTACGGTGTACCTTTATGACTGTGGCTTACTCTGGCTGCGGTTCTATTGGGACAAAGGTACGTACTTTGTGCACATTCTTTGGTATGCAGTAGAGATTCTTGTGCCGTACAACAGTTCCGAGCTCGAGAGTGCCATTGGGCAAAGCAACAAAGTAGGATGTCGGGGATGGGCTGTGTTGGTTAGTACTGTCATTGACCAAATGTCCTGGCTGACCTTCAAGTCACGCAAGTTCTCCCTCCCTCTACGGCACAGGTAAAAGGCGATGTAGAAATACACAAGTCGCTGCAGTGCGAGCAGGTTATCCATGCTCAGAGTGCCCGTGTCAAACATTTTGACTATGTCACAAGATAGGATTGGTGGATATGGTTTTGCAGTGTCTAGCCCACTCCTGCGCAGCTTTTTTGAACATACCGACAAACATTTTTCGCTGCTTGAAACACTGGATCCTAATTAGAAGAACAAATTGAATAAAGGTTTTCACAGTTTCTTTCACGCAGTTGGCTAGTCTCGCCTATGTATGTTTCCATGCGAAGTGAATCACTGTCCTGGTTGCATGATGTCCTTGCCTCATTAGAAACCATTTCCTGGAACAAAATATTCCTCCTTCAGCGGCAGCTCGTCTATGGCGTTTTGACATCGCCACAAAATAGATGCAAATAAAAAAATTAAAAAAACAACGGAAAACAACAACAGTAGCGGGATGGCCTGAAGAGAAGAACGTGTCAAAATATTCCTTATTGGCATACAACCTCGCCCATCTCTGCCATGAAGTTAATCTTAGTGCTTTGAAGGAATTGTTGAGCATGCAGTAGCCATGTGGATTGCAGTGAACGTCTAAAGTTTGTGGGGTTGGTGGTTTGTGTGTCTTGTTTTTCCCACGATGCCCAACTGTCCACTTTTCGACAATAGAATTACCAGGTCAAAGGTCATAATATTGCATTTCACTCCTATCTTTTTTATTCCGAAGAAGAAACATCCCAGTTGCCCACCTAAGTCGTCTGGCAAAATTATTTCGAGGGATCTCGATCACCACGAGCCTCAAGCCACTAGACAAACGGCCTTGCGTCGCTCTGTGTCTTCCTTTTAGTATTGTGGTTTATGTAACTGGTCTATGTATCTGGATCTGTCTGAATAATTAAATTCCTGAAACACTATATATGGCCCTCTTAGATGCCGCCATTTTTTTCGAGAACCATTATTTGAGTAAAGGAGTTCTAATTTTTCAAATCAATCTAATACATATAGAATACAACTGTTGTTTCATATAACTGTTGTATTTCATTTATATCATGCCTGGGCCGCGACAAGGTTGATTTAATTGCCAAGGTCGGCTCTACCATTACGTGCGGATGTTTCGCATCTGTTTCCAGTGAGGATGTCACATATTTATGGTCTTCAGTAGCGCACGAGTAGTTATTAACGGATTGTAGTTTTCGTGTCCAGATGGCTGCCACCAGGGCCTGCATCATGCCCTTACGTGCGCTGTGATTCACCATCCGGCCGGCTATGCCTGCCTTCTCAGCCAGGGTGGACATGATGGTCCCGATCTTGTTCTTCCCCATCGGTGCGTTGATAAACCAAACCTTTGCTCCCGGCTTGCGCACTTTGTTGATGCCTGGCATCCCCTCCGTGCCCACCCGCGTTTCAGGTTTGGTAACCGCCAGCACCTCATCCAGATGGAGTCGACGTGGTGCTACATTGCTACTTGTGATACTAAATTGCGGGCATTGTTGGGATCTCTCTCAGTAGATCCGCATCTGATCTGCATGCTTCCTGCGCCGAAAAGGCTGCAGATGGTGCGGTTGACTAGAGTAGGTGACAGTTAAAGTACTACAGTTTCTTTTAAGATGTTGGGTAGACTCTTCTATAGATGTTTCCATGAATCATTTGTAAATAATACCGGACGTCATTCTTAAATCTTTCCGAAGGATGACCCATTTTTGTCTGAGCGTGACCTAAGTGTGACCTAAGTTTGTGCTTTTGTTTGTGTACAAGATAACTCAATCGAGAAGCAGTGGATAATTGTTAATAGAAGGTTAATGCCCCGACCCGAGGTGTATATGGTGAGATAATCCCTTGTCGGGTGCGATAACCACCGAGCAGATAAAGTTAAAAGTTGGGCCGTAAACCACACATTAGCCATAAAGCGTACTTTTTGTCTTTTATATCATACCAAACATTGGCCTTCTTGGTGTCCTCAACGTACCTCATTTATGCAGAAAATATTGACGTTGAAATATAACGGCGTAATCTAATTATCTTGTCCATATGTGACGAAATTTAATTATCTGTTCAATTAATATTTACACCCAAATAAATTAAGAAAAGGATAAAACTGGCACGTCATTGCATTAGACATCATGAAATTATTGTACCCAAGCCAGAAGTCAAGAGAAGTACGTTCTCAATAATCAGCTTATTGGTGTGCTTGTCCCCTATTGTTTTCGCCGAAAATGTTTATATTAACTTGAAGTGTTTGAGTATTGCATAATCAAAGTTCCCGGATGTATCAATTGTGGTTCAGCATGGAGGAATATGATATCGATATCGCTTCACGTACAAAAATGAGCCGCGCAAGTCGTACAAGCGCAATTATGTAAAAAGTCGGCTAGTTTACATAGTCACTGTAGCATAATCTACCGAAAATAGCACTCCCTTCTGAACTTTAGTACTACTTTGAACCCCACTTCTCTTACATATAATGCATTCTGGATATTAGAAAAAAAGACAAGCAATCATGATGGCTATTCCAACAGATGTGCAAAATTTATTATTTCAAATGTGACATGTACATTTCACTAAGAATGAACAGAAAGCCAGTTCAGTTCATCCTTATAGTGACGCCAGAAGATCAAAACAGTGCAGTCTTACAGACAAGAATCACATCAAATCTCATCAAATGTAAAAGTATTCTCTGTAAACCATTGGCAACGTATTTGTACAATTCTGCATTAGAAAATGACAGGAATAAGGGAAAACAAGCTTTTATCAATACTAGTAGCAAGTAAGCAACAATAAACTAAGTTAGTTTAACTAAGTCTGAGGGAATTTTAAGATTAAAGAATTCTAATCTTGTAACTAAGAATCTTCCCTAGAAATATTGTCTTTCCTAAGCTATCACTACCAAAAATGTTTTTCTTGTTTTTCTTATGGGAAAAAAATTCTTTGGGGTAGAATAATGAGAAAAAATTAATTTTCTTTATACCTATACTTTCTTGCACCAAGAACAATTTTCTCATTTTTTAGGAGGAGATATTTTTTCTAGAATAGGCCTCTTTAAATCTTGATTTTTGTTCAGTAAAGAAATATTTCTAGAGGAGATTCTTAGTTACAAGATTAGAATTCTTTTAATCTAAATTTTTTTTTGTAAAGACAATATTTCTAGGGAAGATTCTTAGTTACAAGATTAGAATTTTTTAATCTTAAAATTCCCTTGGACTCAGTTAAACTTTGTAATTCAATCTCCATGCAAGATGAACTTTCTTATTCAATCTCCATGTAAGATTTCTTTCTTACCTGACATCAAAGTGGTTAAGTTGTTTTTTTCTTGCGTATGTCAAAAAGTTTTTTGTTTCTATTACCTAGAAAGACTGAGAAAGGCCATTCTTGTTTTTCTTAGCAATGTTTAAAAAAAATACAAGAATTTGGTTCTGTCTTTATAGGCAAACACTGATTGGAAAAGCAGGAAATTTAAGGTATCTAAATCTATGATAAGAATAAAGCTCTGTTTCCGACGGTGTGTGAGGAAACCGTTCCGACGGTGTGTGAGGAAACTGTTCCGAAGGTACCTGTGGATGACGGGAATAACAACAGAACCACAACATTACCTCAAAACACTGAAACTAGAAATGATGACAAAATCACATCGCTTCAAAACAGCGTGGACAAACTTGAAGCAATACTCAGCACCAGAATCACAAAAGAAAACAATGCTGTGGCCATGCTGTCTGCGCGCATTACAAACATTGAAGACACCCTATTGTCTAAGACAAAGGACGCGCTCCACGACAAGACGGCAAAGGAAAGTGACGTTGAGGTGCTAAAAAGACGTGTGAGATCCCTGGAGACAGAAAACAAAAACTTGAGACAAAGAATAGCGGCCCTGGAGGAGAAAAGTGTCAAAAGTGCAGTTTCCATAGCAACACAAAGTGACACAACAGCAGCTCCACAAGCACCGAATGAAGACGAACCAGGCAACGAAACTGTTGTACTCAATATTCAGACAAACAACAGGTTCCTCCCTCTAACGGAAGAGACAATACCCCAAGAAGAGCAGACAACAAACAGTTCTGAGAGGACAACCAGCCCACACAACGTCAATAGACCACAGAGAGGCGCGCCTCCCAACCGGCGTCACCAGGCCAGCGAAAACCAGTCTCAGACAGACATAGTCATAGTGGGAGACTCGAACACAAGGGGTATAATCCCAACAATGCTGTACCCCGGTAAGAAAGTCGCAAAATACTCAGCAATGACTATCCCTCAGGCTTCTGCCCTGATCAAAAACACCGCTGACCTTGACCCAAAATGCATAGTCTTCCACGTGGGGACCAATGACATAAGACAAGAGAAGGCAGCACACGGGGTAACAGAAAACCTCAGAGAGTTAGTGACCACCACACACACTAAGTACCCTAATGCAGCTATCGTGATGTCCACGGTCCCACCCAGGAACGACAATCACTTGATGGAAGTGACACGCGATGTAAACTCCTTCATTCAGATTCTTGGCCAGGAGACCCCTTTCATTACCATTGCAAACAATGACAACCTCGGAGATGGTAAACTGATCAAACAATCCCTCTACCGACCTGATGGGTACCACCTCAACACAGGAGGACTAAAGGTCTTGGCAGCTAATTGGAAGACTGCCATCCACCCAAGTGTAGGTCTCGGGGTCTACGACAGGAGAAGACGGAATAACGCCACACCTGTTCAGCCAAGAAACGGAAGAGTACACCGTACATCCCGCGACCAACCAAGAGACGGAAGGAACAGCGGTACTCCTAACACTCGTACCGTAAGCCCAACATCGTCCTCACAAACAAGCAGAGACAACGGACGCAACACGGACGACGTGCAAACTCCAAGGAGTGACGAGGGTTACAGGGCAACTAACCGGCTCCCCCCTGATCCCCGTAATAGGGGACCTGCACTCTTCGCCCAAGGACCAGAGGCAGCTTGGCCAACACCGAGGGAAGCTGCCGACAGACGACACCCAGCCAGGAGGCCGCATCCACCGATGGGCCCAGCGCACGAGGCAGTGTGGCCAACACCGAGAGAAGCGGCCGACATGCGACACCCAGTCAGCAGACAGCACCCGCCGAGCGGCCCAACCATCCCACTACGGCCGTTCTCTCCATACGTCCCCGACTACGAACACTTCTATTCGAACTGGTATCCGGAGACCTGGGGCGTACCACGGCCGTGGTTCTCCCCGGAGTTCCCGCAGAGGTATCAAGACTGGCACGCACGTTACTAACTTGTGCTGGCTGAAGGTATGATGAATTACGTTGTAAACGATGTTTGAAATCGAGACTAGTAATAGGATAACACGTTGATAGTATGGAATAGGAATTCATGTACTAGTAATATGACAATAAGATAAGTTAGATATTAGTTAATGCAGAAATAGATCCATTTTTTTTTTTTCTAACATACCAATATTGTCGTAAAGGTAGGGACAAAGTACTACCAGTATTTACAATTCTAATCTCATGTCAGTGAACATCGGATTTTGGAACATACATGGGTTAGGGAAGAAACTTGAGGACAGTAGTGTTAGGAATAAATTAGATAGTTTAGACTTCTTCTCTCTAATTGAAACTTGGTGCACAGAAGCTTCGGAAGTTGACATCCCAAATTTTCAGCATTTCTCTTCAATAAGACCCAAACATAGAAAAGCTCGACGAAATTCTGGAGGAATATTATTCTATTTCAAAAGCAAACTGGCAAGGTTTGTCAAACGAGAACATGGCACGTCCGAATGTCCAGATTTACTATGGGTTAGAATTTCAAAAGACCTGTTTGGTTTGCCAAGAGACATATTTATCTGTAGTGTTTACATAAGCCCAGTGTACTCCGCCATACATAAAAGAACAGATGATAGTATTTTTGACATCTTAGAGCGAGATATAGTACACTTTTCCTCCAGAGGCTACGTCATCCTAGGAGGAGATTTTAACTGCAGAATAGGCGCATTGTTAGACTTTGCTAATGAAGACCACATTGACACAGAGTTTGATCTAAATGTAGATGCAATTTCTCATGTAAATATCCCACGAGACTTTGCCGATAAAAGCCATCCAAATGCCTTTGGTAAAATCCTAAGCGACCTTTGTATCCAATCTGACCTCCGCATTCTTAACGGACGGATTCTAGGTGATCTGAACGGCAAATACACGTGCTACCAACCGAAAGGCTGTAGCACAGTTGACTACGCCATCACTAACAGTTCCCTTCTCCACACGATTAATACTTTCAAAGTTCACACCCTGACCGATGTATCTGACCACTGTATGATTTCTCTGAATATCAGCGCGGACACCTGGTCAGTTAAAAACACAGCATCGCAAAAAAGTAAACTACAGCATATACCGAAACGGTTCATCTGGGGTCCAGACTCCAGAGAAAAATTCCTTAAAGCTTTAAACAGTTCACCTATCTCTAAGAAGATGGAGGGTTTTTTATCCGACAACCATGAACCCAATTTAAACATCGATAATAACGTTCAAAACATTCAAGAAATATTAGAGTCGGCTGCGAAAGCATCGCTACAAATGAAATGTACTAAAAGGACAAGTAGGCCAAAAGCGAACAAGAAATGGTTCGATAAAAGTTGCTACGTCTTCAGGAATGAACTAAAAAACTTGAGATACCTTCTAATACAAAACCCAAAAAATCCGTTTCTGAGAGGTAGCTATTTTAAAAAGAAAAAGGAGTATAATAAACTTATCCGAATGCGCAAAAGAGAACATGAAAAGAGTTGTCTAGAACAATTAGCAAATCTACAAGAAAACAACCCCACTGCGTTCTGGAACTTACTTAAAAACTAAAAAAGA